AGGAAACTCCTATTATGGAAGACATAGTCTTTTTTCTTTTAAATATAAAAAAAAGTCATTTTCTGGTGTTTATTTTATTACTAGGGAGTTTGAGCATCTTTTCATATATTTATTAGCAATTTGTATTTTTCTTCCTTTTTGAATTGCACATTCATATTGTCATTTCTGGTATCAGGTTGTTTAGTATCTTGTACAACACCTCTCCCTTAACACTGGAAAAGTTTCCAGATTAATTTGGTAGGTGTTCCTGACATTTTGGCATTGAGAAACTCTCCTAATCTAATGTCTAGTAGCAGGTTAACACTAACATTACAGAAATTCTAAGAATCTCATTTTTATCTGACCTCACCTCAATTTAAAAAATAGGCCAGGGCTTCCCTGGTGGCGCAATGGTTAAGAATCCGCCTGCCAGTGCAGGGGACATGGGTTTGAGCCCTGGTCTGGGAAGATCCCACATGCTGTGGAGCAGCTAAGTCCCTGTGCCACAGCTACTGAGCCTGCGTTCTAGAGCCTGTGAGCCACAACTACTGAGCCCACGTGCCACAACTACTGAAGCCCACGTGCCTAGAGCCTGTGCTTCGCAACAAGATAAACCACCACAATGAGAAGCCCGCGCACCACAACGAAGAGTAGCCCTGGCTCGCCGCAACTAGAGAAAGCCTGTGTGCAGCAATGAAGAACAAAACAAAACAAACAAAAAATAGGCCAGAACTTTTAATGCAATAATAAAAAGATAATAAATAACCTAACTAAAAAAATGGACAAAGGATTTGAATGGACATTTTTCCAAAGAACGTATGCAAATGGCCAACAAGCACATGAAAAGGATGATCAACACCATTTGTTGTTAGGGAAATGCAAATCAAACAATTTTAAATCTGTGAATTGTGTAGAACGTGAATTATATCTCAATAAAGATGTTTTAAAAAAGGGAGCCCAGGGCTTCCCTGGTGGCGCAGTGGTTGAGAGTCCGCCTGCCGATGCAGGGGACATGGGTTTGTG